TCTTATTTTATGACAAGAGAATAAGATTTAAATTAGGTTTTAAAGATTTAAATTATAAATTATAAGATTTAAATTAGGTTTTAAATTAATGATCCATTAATACATTTGTCAACTAGGAAAATTTTTATGTCTTTGTTGATTTTCTATGGTTTGATCTCTTAAATCTGTAGTCTTTATTCTCACTAGTGATGTACAGTAAGTATCAAGGCATTTACATCTATAAATATATCTTAAAATATCATAGTTTATACTTTGTACAATGAAAAAATCCCATGCAGTAGTCTCAATAGCTTCCATTAATATTTGCTCAGAATCTAATAAATCATTAGACACCAGGGTCCAATATCACCAACAAAATAGTCTTTTCTTTCTTTCTTTTTTTTTTTTTTTAAGATTTTATTTATGGGCACCTGAGTGTCTCAGTTGGTTAAGTGTCTGCCTTTGGCTCATGTCATGATCCCAGAGTCTTGGGATCGAGTCCTGCATCGGGCTCTCTGCTCAGCGTGTGCCTGCTTCTCCCTCTCCTTCTGCCTGCTGCTTTGCCTACTTGTGATATCTCTCTCTCTTTCTCTGTGTCAATTAAATAAAAAAAGAGATTTTATTTACTTATTTGACACAGAGAAAGAGAGAAAGAGCATAAGCAAGAGGAGTTGCAGAGGGAGAGGGAGAAGCAGGCTCCCCGCTGAGCAGAGAACCCCCCCCCCCCCAGCGTGTGTCTTGATCCTGGAATCATGACCTGAGCTGAAGGCAGGCTCTTAACTGACTGAGCCACCCAGGTGCTGCCCAATTACCCTTTTCCAAAATAAAACTAACAGTATTTATAAAGATGTTCACATTTAAAAAGTAAATCATACACAATTACATAAATCAGGTCAATGGGCCAGAGTCAGTTCCTAAAAATCACAAATTTGTGACTTCTTCTTTAAACAGTGTATAAAAACCTCCAAGGAAACGTCAAGTCGTTAACTTCCTTATTTTTGGAAGATTTTTTTCTTCACTGAGTTTGTAGTCTTCTACTTGTCACCAAATACCGACTGGGCTTTAACAAAGGGAAGGGGGAAAAAAAACCCAACAACCCAGACACAAAGGTCAATCATGCATGTAAACTTTTGGCATTGTATAATGAAGTACCCTTAAACTCTTGGTGAATAAAAATGCCAAGTGGATTTTCAGGGGACACACATACTGACATTCCTAAAGTTCTAAAGCCAGTTTTCAAATTCTAAGTTATTCTTTCATAATGTACAAAACCCTTTAGTCTTCAACAGAGAGTCCTTATTTTAATAATAATAAAAAAAAACAAACACCAAAAACTTGAAGTTTGAAAATAAAAGCTTATATTTTAGAGAGTTGATGAAGAAAGAACCTGTGAGTTGCTGCTGTATAAATATAAACTGCCAGAGGGACGCCTGGTTGACTTAGTCAGAAGAGCGTGCAACTCCTGATCTTGGGTTTGTAAGTTCGAACCCCACGCTGGGTGTAGAAGTTTCTTAAAAATAAATAGGTAACTTCAAAAATAAATAGATACATATAAACTGTTGGGGAGAAAATAAGAATTTTAAAAGACAACAACATTCTGACATCTCAACTTTATGTTGCCTTGATGAGTGTATGTTTTGCAGGAAGTCTTTGTTTTCTGGTTCTGACTTGTTCACTGACTCAAGATTCGACCTTGGGTGGATCATTTCATTTCTCAGGTCCTTGTTTCTCTTCTGTCAAAAGAAGAGGTTTGTCTGCAGAATCTTAAGGTCCTTCTGTTTCCAAAATGTTGTAAAATTATCATTCAGACATTCTTTTTAAATTATTTTATGATATTATTTTTAAAAACTATTTATCTGTTTACAGAAAGAGATTTGGAATGCACACTGCATAGGGACTACTGGGTTGAGAGAAGCTAAAACAATTTCACAGGCCTTGTGGAAAGGCCTGTTGTTCTGAACAGACCACGACTGGAAAGGGGTGTGTAATTTCTCCCTCAAAACCGGTTTATTTGCCTCAAATACTGATGGAGGAAAGGGTACACGAATCTCTGTTGTTAAAACAAAATTAGATATAATTTATCATACTGGATCTGTAGATAACATGGACCATTACCTGGATATTACTTGTTAGATTTAATGCCTTCTAGCGCTCAAGTAATTGTATTGAACTTCTCATTTGTGTATGTTGTTTATCTTGAGTAAAGTTTGTTACAAAGATCAGTGCCCCTGAGTTAGTCAGGAAAAGGTCAAAGCTTTTAAACCTGTCTGATGTACATCAACTAAAAGCCTCGGAACTAGTGACACCTCTTGTTAGAGCCTTTCAATTGCAAGGTAGAAAGAGAGAGAAGAACCATAAGGCAGGTATTTTTCTATAGTAGTTCGATTTAGTGATTGTGAGACTAGTAAGCCATTAATTGAATATAAAAACATTGCAAATACATATTTTTGTGCTGTCTGCCACCTTGACAAAGAAGAGGAAAACAATGCATTTGTAGGAGTAGATAAACCTTGCATCTCTGAGTTTTCTGGGCCTCAAATAATTGGCAGCATGACTCTGAAATGCACACGCAGAAAGTCACCTTTGATTTAATGCTTTTTTGGGTCTTTTCATGTTTTTATCTTGGTGCATTTTTCCCCCTGATATTTCAAATATTACTTTGGTGCTAAAAAATCAAGAGGGGAAAATGCAGGCAGAAAAAAAGGAGAAAAATCAGCTCATTACTCCTTTCCCATGTATGATTGGGCTCATGTGATTGGTACCTTGGACTTTGTACTGTCATTTCACTCCTTTCTCTGCAGACATCAATCCTAGGAAATTAAAAGCAAAATTCGGAAGTGTGAGGAAAAGCACCAATTATTATGTATGCACATGGTTTGTGAGGATTCCTAACTATTGATCTGCAGGTAGGTGTCTAGGTTGAAGTAGGTTTAAATGTGTAGGTGGCTGTGCTGTAGTTTTACATTTATCATAATTAATATCTAAAACAGGAAGGAAAAGACAAATTGTCACTCTTCTTACTTCCCCCATTTGCCTCTGCAAAAGTAGGAGAGAGAGGGGATTGCTTTCTATCTACTTGAAATAAGACATTTAAACCATAGTGAATTCAAAAATCCTTAGGCATTTTCCTCAAAGTTTCCTTCAGTGAAAATTGATATGAATCAAAAATTTCATATTAAAAAAAATGGCAGGACCATTGCTCCTAGCAGAGTTATCTGAATGATTTGCTAGGTCAAGCAATCTGTCAACTATTTTCCTCTAGATCAGAGGATTAGTATATCAGGCCAGATTCTTATCCTGTATAAGGTGGAACAAAGTTATTTTTGGAATCTGAGAGTATATGATTTGACACTCCTAAAGGAGACTTTCTGAGACTTTACTTCTAAAAACGAGTAGATATTATAGTAAAATATAATTCCTATGCTTAAGTACAGCTGTAAAATCTAAAATGCAGTTTGAATACATTCAGAGTGAGTCTTCAATGCTTTCTCCATTAAATAAAGAGATTGCAAATTAAAAGTACTCAAAAATTGCAGTTGACACATTCAGGAACTCATTAACTTCATTCTTTTCCAAAATCACCATAGCAATTAGTCTAAACTTTAATTGACCAAAATTGTTCATCATTAAAACACTGATTTTTAAGAGACTATTTTTTTTTTTGACTTGGACTTACATTTTTTAGAATTTTAAATCCATTACTCTGAAATGATCAAGCATGTTTGCATTTGCATTTTAGTTGTCCAGAGAAGACCCTCTTATGCTGACCTCGTCTGCTTGGTCAGATGTCAGTGAGCATTTTGTGCCAATCAGCTATAGATTGCATGACAATCTCTATTTCCCCAGAAAACAGGGGAAAATGTGTATACTGGAATCTAATTTATATTTAGAAATCTTGATAGGATCTTTTTGTTAATTCTTAAATATTTCTTTATGATATAATCTTTATCTTTTTATCTTGTTTAACTTTTTCAGTTTAAGATATCACTTCCTTATGAACAGATCAACCACCTTAAAATTGCCCACCTCAACTTCAAACATACGAGCTCTTATAATCCTTCCTTCATGTCTTCAGTTAGTCATTGGGTCATTCAACGGCATCCAGTGCTGACACTGCTAGCAACATGGAGTAAGAAGAGGAAAGGGATGTGTTCTATGATTCCAAGCGCTTATAAAAGTCAGGTAAACAAGTAAGTGCATTTAAATGTTAAGAGAACACGGGGCGCCTGGGTGGCTTAGTGGGTTAAGCCTCTGCCTTCGGCTTGGGTCATGATCTCAGGATCCTGGGATGGAGCCCTGCATCTGGCTCTCTGCTCAGCAGGGGGCCTGCTTCTCAACCCCCCACCCCCGCCTCTCTGCCTACTTGTGATCTCTGTCTGCCAAATACATAAATAAAATCTTAAAATAAATAAATAAATAAATGTTAAGAGAACAAATGCAGGGGTGACTGGGTGGCTCAGTGGGTTAAGCCTCTGCCTTTGGCTGGGGTCATGATCCCTGGACTCTCTGCTCAGCTGGGGGCCTGTTTCCCCCTCCCCCTCTGCCTGCTTCTCTGCCTACTTGTGATCTCTCTCTCTCTGTCAAATAAATAAATAAAATCTTAATCAAAAAGAGAGAGAGAGAGAGAGAGAGAGAGAACAAAGGCAGCAGAATATGCATGTCATGCTTGGAGCCCAAAGGAAGGTATGGTTTTTACCATCTGGGAGTGGGGAGGAGAAAACAGAAAGCTGTGGGTGTAGTTGATGCTTGATCTGAGTGTTCCAAGGTGTTTTTGCCAGATGGTCAATGAATGAAAGTGCTCTCCCTACAGAAGGAGAGCCAGAGGAAAAGGGAAAAACCATGAGACTACAGAGTGAATTCAAGAAACAAGTAGCTCAGTCAGGCTAAAGCAGAAAGAAAAATAAGACACAAGGCTGAGGCAGGGCCCAATTACATGGATGTTACCAAGACCAAGAGTGTAGATTTCAAACAGCAAAATATAGGTCATGGGAAGAATTAGCAAAGTTAAGCAAGAAAAATAATTATGACATAACGTATTTTTTTCTTTTGAAGAGAACACACCAAATATTGGAAGATATGGAAATAAAACATTTCAGAATCTAGCTTTTGCTTCTTGTTAACAAAGTCTCCACTCTGGTCCAAGGAAACCAGAGGTATGGAGGACAGGGAGAGATGTTGCTTTCCTTCCTGGGATGACGAGAAGGGTGGACCATAGAATTCTGGGAAAGTGAGGTCCTTAACTCTGCCTTTTTCACCAATGCTAAATAAATACCTGAGTAAACATAAAATGATATTCAATTAGCTTCTTTAAAAGTCATATGACAAAAACAAAAATTATAAACTTAAGATAAGAAAATAAACCACATAATTGAAACCATATATTTTTGTAGACATAATATATATGACAATAATGGCAAAGGTGACAGGGAACTCTTATTTGATAAAGTACTTACCTTTTATTTGGCACCTTATAAAATTAAGTCTAAGTAGATCATGTTCAGTTAATGATGTATCTTGTAATCCCATAAACATCTACCTAAAATAATGCAAAGATATATATTTTTAAAAAATAGAGGAATTCAAAGGGGAAAAACAAATTCAGTTAGCTTAAAAGAAGACAAGAAAGAAGACAAGAACAAAAAAAACCTAGTGAGACAAATAGGAAACAAATAAAAATGTATACTTTGATCTTATTTATTTGTTTTTTATTTTAGGCTGAGAATCTGTATCTTTTAATAAGAAAGAATTAATTTATATCTAACATGATTATTAATTTTGTTAGGATAAAGTCTTATTAAAAGATACAGATTCTTAGCCTGGATAAAAATGTAAGGCCCAATTTCATCTTCCCATAACAAAAAAACTTGCCATTAAAAAAAATGCACAATGAGGGGCGCCTGGGTGGCTCAACTAGTAAAGCGTCTGCCTTGGGCTCAGGTCACTATCTCAGGATCTTGGGATCCAGCCCCATATCAGTCTACTTGCTCAGCAGGGAGTCTGTTTCTTCCTCTAACTCTGCAGCTCCCCATGATTGTTCTTGATCTCTCTCTGTCAAATAAATAAAATGTTTTAAAAAAGCCAAAAACATTGATTGAAACAAAACAGTGGAAAAAAGCATACCATGTCATCAGTCAGCATAGAAAATATGGAGTGGCCCTATTAATGCTAGACAAAATAGACTCTGGGACAAAGTGTATTATCAGATATAAAGAGGAACATTTTGTAATGATAAAGTGTTAATTAATTAAGGAAATATACCAGTCATATATATGTGCATAATAAAAGACCTTTAAAATTCTTGAGAAAGCACCTGACGGAACCAATAAGAGAAATAGACATATCTAACTATCGTACTGTGTTTCACTCATTAAGATAGTACAACTAGACAAAAAAGATCAGAAGATATATAGAAGATCAGAACAATATCAGCTACCTTGGACTAATGGACACCTATAGAATACACCTAGCAACCGCAAAATATACATTCTTCTTAAGTGCCCCATAGAACGTTCGCTAATATAGTTGATGTGCTGGGTCCTAAAATGAGCTTGAATAACTTCTAAATATTGCAATATTCCTGAGTGTATTCTCTGACCACAATGAATGTAAATTAGAAACAAATAACAAGATGTCTAAAAGAGTCTGAAATATTTGGAGATGAACAAATTTTTAATAATAGATGGGTCAAAGGTAAAATCATGGGGATTATTAGAAAACATTCTTTAAATGAATGATAATGTAGGTACAATACTCCGTCTGCCTCTCCCTCTAGCTTGTGCGCTCTCTCTCACGCTCTGCTCTCTTGCAAATAAATAAATAACATCTTTAAAAATAAATAATAAATATTGCCCTTAAAAGATAAACTCTGTCAGATTAGATTAAAAACTGAGTACCCAACTACATGCTGTCTATGTGAGATAGAATTTTAATATAATGACTCAATTTTAAAGGTGTAAAAGAATGGTCAAAGATGTACTAGGCATTTGAAAACAATTAGGATACACTGAGGAGAACGTGACACCACTTCTGTGATAGTCCTGCAAAGATGTGTATCTTGAATTGAGTCATGGGGAAATACTGGACAAACCCAAACCAAGGGGCATCGCACAAAATAACCTGTCCTGTTCAAAGTTCTCAAGGTTATAGAAGCCAAGGAAAAAACTAAAGAATTGTTCCAGACTGAGGGAGGGTAAAGAAACCTCCAAGAGGTGATTCTGAAGCATATCTTTTATAAATGTAAATATTAGTGGGACAACTGACAAAACTTGAATAGGGTCCAAAGAGGTGTTCTAAAGAATCAAACTGAACGAGTTAAGTGATAATATTGCAACTGTGTTAATTTTCTGATTTCGATGGCTCCATTTTCTTCTATGTTGAAGAATATAAAATATCTTTGTAGGAAGCTATATAGTAAAGTAATCAGGATCGTGGGGCTTAGATATGATAACTTTTTCTCCAGTGGTTCAGGAAAAAATTCATTTTGCTAGTTATGCAACTTTTCCATATATTTGAGAACTTCACAAAATTTTTTAAACTTTAAAATTAACAACAACAAAAAAAGGAACAATAATTAGAAGGAATAACATTGAACTTCTCAACAGTGATGAGGGAACAGAAGGGTAGCTGAAGACAAAGCACAAGCTGACAACCTGCAACCTCCCCTCACCCCCCACTTCTGGGTGGGACCTGTGCGACATTCTTCCTGGGATCTCCCAACTATCTTAATGTTAATACCTTGCTAGAGGGGAAAAACCACCTTAACCTGACAATGGCAAGGTATCTTGGAGGTTTCTTGTAGGTTGGTCCTCTTTAGCATACGAAAGTTCTTTTGAAACCGCCCTTTTCCTTATGTTCCCCAACTCCCAAGTTTGTCATCAGCAATTCCCTGGGGAAGTAGCTCTTTCTGCGCATGAGTACCGTCCCCATGCTTTAATAAATCACCATTGTGCACGAAAGACATCTCAAGAATTCCTTCTTGGTCCTCAGCTCTGGATCTCACCCCGCCGAACCTCACCTATATTCCAAAACCACATCCAGAGTAATACTAGATGTTTGAGATACCGGAGTAGTGCTTTTAAAATCTGAGGGGAATCACAGAATTCAATACCCAGACGGCTGTTAGTCAAGTATGAGGATAGAAGAGCAATGTTTACAGATACACAAGAATTCAGAAAGCTTATCCTCTTTATCACACAGAGAATCTATGCTATCAAAATCAGGAAATTAAAAAATAATCTGTTCTTTTTTTTTTTTTAAGATTTTATTTATTTATTTGACAGACAGAGATCACAGGTAGACAGGCAGGCAGAGAGAGAGGGGGAAGCAGGCTCCCTGCTGAGCAGAGAGCCCTATGTGGGGCTCGATCCCAGGACCCCGAGATCATGACCTGAGCCGAAGGCAGAGGGTTTAACCCACTGAGCCACCCAGGCGCCCCTAAAAATAATCTGTTCTTGAAGAGAATGGCAGTGTTCAGTTGGCCTGAAGCATTAAAAGAGGGGCCCTAGAGTAGCCAGACTGGGAGGTGACCAGAGGTGTATCTGGAAATCTCTCTTCTTTAGTCTAAGTCTCTTTTATTTATTTTTTATTTTTGTTATTTTTTACACCTTGAAAAAATTTTTTAATGTTTATTTTTTAATCTTTTATAAAGTTTTAATTAATTTTAAATTGAAGTATAGTTGACACAGTGTGACATTAGTTTCATGTGTATCATATAAGTCTTTTTAAGTAGGTACATGTATTATTTGAATGATGTTAAAGAATTATATTTAAAATGAATGAGAATTGAGTAAGTAAACAAAGATGCTAAGTGAAGGCAGGTTTCCTTAATCCGAAAAGGAGAAAACAGAAAAGGTAACTAGAGAAGAACTTAGATTTGAGAATTTTTTTTTCTTAATAAGTTAAGACAAATAAGCATGGTGCTATATTCTGTGGGAAAACCAGAGGAGGAGGTAGGTGACCAACCATGCTGGCAGTAACAAGATGATGTCCCAGGTAGGTAGAATTGATTCGGTTGTCTTGTGTGCTGCAGAGTCGCACTTTCCCCCACATAAGAGCATATGCTAATAAAATAATAGCACATCTAGAAGAAAGAGGAGTGTAAAACTTGGTGAAGATCTGAAACAATGCTGGTGGCTTATAGTTGGGGGAGCTGAAAGAGGGGCACACAGGATCGCCAAGCGTTATGGATGGCCCAGCGGCAGAGATGAGTGTACACAGTCAGGAGCATTAGCCACACCTATGCTTGTTTATTTTTCCTCAAATGTTATCGCAGCCTGGGTGTAGGTACTAAATTTAGATTTGGAATTTGCCCAATGGGTATGAATAAGTGATAAGGCAGGAGGTGGTCCAAAGTGGGGAGAAAAGGAAGTGAACCTGCAAGATTGACAGACGCCATTAAGAAGGAGGGGTTGAGGGGCGCCTGGGTGGCTCAGTGGGTTAAGCCTCTGCCTTCAGCTCAGGTCATGATCCCAGGGTCCTGGGATCGAGCCCCATGGGGGGGGGGGTCTCTGCTCAGCAGGGAGCCTGCTTCCCCCTCTGTCTCTGCCTGCTGCTCTGCCTACTTGTGATTTCTGTCAAATAAATAAATAAAATCTTAAAAAAAAAAAAAAAAAAGGAGGGGTTGAACAACTGGAGGGCAGACTGCATTGAAAAGTCAGTGAGGGTGGAAGTAAAGGAGCCCCAAACTGGGCTGATGGGACCTTGGAGTCCACGGAAGAATAGAGTAGGGGAGGGACTGAGTGTTCAAAGGAATTGCTGTTTGGAGAAAGCCAGCTGGGGGAAAAGACCCCCAATAAACACTCAGAGCTGCTTTTGCAGAAGGAAGAAAATCAGAGTGGTGCATAGGGAACGGAGGAGCTCTTCAATTTTGGAGAAGTTAGGCTGACTTAGAGCCTCCTTGCTGTTTCCTTGCATTTCCTTTTTGGGGATGATATTTCTTGGATGAATCAAACTTCCATCACATTAAACTATCTGTGGACGATAAACCACTTACTGTGAAGTCAGCCTTTGCCTGGTTTCTACCTTGGCACCAATTTAACACCTTAGTCCTTTCTAGCAAGGTTATTTTTTATTTACGTTTTCGATTTCCTCTGCATTTCAGTGATAGTTGTCTTGGCACACAGTCCCAGCTGCAGACAGCTTTTATTTTTAGGTTTCCCTATTCAGAAAGAGTAGTCCCTGTTTAGGGATTTTGCTGTCATTCTAAGCTTTCCACTGAGCTATGACCCTGCAGCTTTCTTCAAATTCAAGTCACTGGGGAGGCCTTTTGAAATGCTGAAAAGACAAGACAACATTTTGTACAAAAGAGGAAAGGCAACCAAAAAGAGACTCCAGAACCAAGGAGATACCAGAAAAAGGACAGGGAAGTAAAGACAGTGACAGGAGCCAAAAGGACAAAAGACAATACATCAAATCCTTAATAAGCCAGCCAGGAGCACCAAGACCAAGGGCAATAACTTATAGCTAGAGGCTTGCCAACAGGGAAGGAAATTCTTGTTTCATAATTCCCAAAACTACCTCCCAGGGTACTACAGGTCA